TGGGGCATGAGTTGGTCACGTCTCCTGGTGTGGGGCATGAGTTGGTCACGTCTCCTGGTGTCAGGCATGAGTTGGTCACGTCTCCTGGTGTCGGGTATGACTTGGTCAAGTCTCCTGGTGTGGGGCATGACTTGGTCACGCCTCCTGGTGTGGGGTATGACTTGGTCACGTCTCCTGGTGTGGGGCATGAGTTGGTCACGTCTCCTGGTGTGGGGCATGAGTTGGTCAAGTCTCCTGGTGTCAGGCATGAGTTGGTCACCTCTACATCTGTGCCCCCGTTGCACAGCAAATGTTTCAGGCAGGTGAGTGCTGTAGGTCTCATGGTTTATGACTGGGTGATAGTTGACTGTGACCTTTCACCTCTGACTGTGCAGAGTACCTTCCAGCACTATGGATGGTAGTCAGTAGGGTGAAGCTTCTAGGTGAGCACCAGCTCAACCCTGTATCCTTGATGACTTATTAAGTGCTGTCTACCTCAATAGAGACTTCCATATGGTCATAGAGAGCAACTAGTAGCCTCAGTAAGAGCCTGTGGTGTTGGGGAGTACTCGTCATAGGACCCTAACCATGGCCATTTTGACAACAGAAGTTTGAGGATTTGGAGATTTTAGATGGTTTGCTTAATACAGTAAACATCTACCTAAAACAAAAACAAAAAAAAAAAGGAAAGATTATTTCACTGGTGTCTAGGACCAGTTGGTCTGCATTCCTGAGTAAAGTCTGTGTAACGTTGGAAAGGTTTTGTCGGCTTGGTCTACACACACTCTAGACACACAGTAACACTGTGAGGGAAGTGGTCTTGGCTGAGGACCACAGATAACACCAAAAATATGAGTAGCGTTTTCCTGATAGGTGTGTGACTCAGAGCCAGAAGCAGATGGATTCTCAGGGATATTTCATTATCATGTGGATACTAGTTAACATCAGGCTAAATTGTTTACATTGGAATTTATAGGTTTCGTTTTTCAAAATAGCATGCATATTAAAAATATAAGGAAACAAAAACATGTTTGCATTGGAAACTATTCCTTCAGCTCATGTAAATGGCAGCCTCATAGCTCTTAAGTGCGTCTGTGTGTGTGTGTGTGTGTGTGTGTGTGTGTGTGTGTGTGTGTGAGTGAGTGCGCTAGTGCACTATTGTGGGAGGCATAGCATCAGAAGAAATTATGTCATATCTGACATTAAAGAGAAAGAAGTAACATACATGAAAAATAAGCTCATGAGTGCTCGTAAAAACCAGCATTGCTGTTTTGCATGTGTTAGTGAACTGAGCACGACTGGTGACAACAGCAGTGATGTCTATTGTGCTAGGGACCTGAAAAAGTTTTAAAGTTTTAAAAAGTCATGTTCACCTAACTAGCTTCTTACAGATACCATTTTGGTGAGTGTCCCTGTCTTTTTCTCTACTCACGTATTGACACGCTGCTATTCCAAAGAGCAGTGTATACATTTTATCTGTATACTGTCGAGTAGGGAAAGCACCTGAACGCCCTTGCAGTAAAGGGATTATATTAGACGTTTACATATTAAATGTAATAAGCTTATTACAGTAGTCATAATGGGTGAAGTGCTTGCTGCGCGCAGGCCCGTGTAAAGCTGTGCATGGCAGTTTGTGGCTGTAATTGCAGTGCGGAGCTGAGGAGTGGAGACAGGACGCTCTGGAGAGCTTGAAGGCAGCCAGGCTTCCTGAAGGGTGAGCTCCAGAGTTAGTGAGTGTGACACTGTCTGCAAGAGGAAGGTGGGGAGGAAGTAGAGGAAAAGTGGAAGAGGTCATCACAGTGTCTGTCTCTGGCCGAACACGCCCACACAGATAGCTACACTTCCACACGTTTGAAAATCTCTCCCACCTTTAAATGAAAAGGAAGGCATGCTCTAGATGCTGTGGTCCAGCTGCTCACTCTGTGTAAACATTGTCAGTCCCTACCTGAAATTCTTACTCTTCGTGACTTCATTTTGCGACTCTTCTCCGAAGAGTACTCCTTAAGTCTGTGCCCTCCTAAGCCAGCATCTTGAGTGTGCCTGTGGGAGTGGTTTCTCCTCGACAGCAACTGTGCAGTGTTTGCTGCTTGAGGAGGAGCTGAGTGCTTTTCAGTATGCTTCCCCCACTCTACCTGTGTGTAGGAAATGATTGCAGTTTTATGGGGCAAAAAGGTGTGTTTCCAGTGAAGCAATCATCCAGTGAGACTAGCGAGAAGCAATAAAGAAGTGAAGTTTTTGAAAAACACCAGGGCAGGAAAGTCCTTGGGTTTGAAATGAAAGCACAGGGGCTGGAGAGATGGCTCAGCCTTCAGAGACCTGCATGACAGCTCACAGCCATCTGTAACTCCAGGATCCTACACCCTCACACAGACACACATGCAGGCAAAACCCAGGGCACATAACATAAGAAGACATTAGTTAGAAAGGAAGAAATGATAATGATAAAGGTCATGTATTCTCTGATTCATTCAGTCAGGTACCAAGTCAGATATTGGCCCCTAGTGATGATTGTTTTGATGGTATTAACATTCCATGTTTGATGCTTTTCAGCAGGCTTGTACCTGTAAGTAGGACTTTGAAGTATATTTATAAGCTTTGTAAAATACCACGTATATGAAACTATTACTCAGTGCAGCTTTATATTATTTATATTGTCTTCAGACATTGCCATATTTTCTTTGAAAACAATGATTGTGACCTGCCTGTACATAGGTATGAATGTTTCTGGGATTTAAGTTTGTATGAAGAGTATTTGAGAGCCAGATAAAATGAAACTTAATGTATTTGAGTAAGTGTACATTCTTGTTTTGTTTTGTTTGTTTGTTTTGCTTTTTTCAAGACAGGGTTTCTCTGTGGCTTTGGAGGCTGTCCTGGAACTAGCTCTTGTAGACCAGGCTGGTCTCGAACTCACAGAGATTCACCTGCCTCTGTCTCTGCCTCCCGAGTGCTGGGATGAAAGGTGTGCGTCACCACTGCCCGGTTAAGTGTACAATCTCAATATAGTTGAATATTAAGGGAAGTGTTTGATTGCTCCTGCAATTGATTTGTTTTTATCCCCCTGGGTCAGTGCCTCCGTTACCATTTTTATTTTTATTTTGAAACAGGTTTCTCTTTGCAGCCCTGGCTGTTCTGGAACTAGACCAGACTGGCCTTAGAGATCTGCCTGCCCCTGCCCTCTGCCTTCTGCCCTCTGCCCTGTGTTCCTGCACAGTGGGGTCAAAGGTGTGTGCCACTACTCCTGGCAGGTCTCTTATAGTCTTGAGTAATCCTTTCAGTTAAAGGCGCTAGGTGTAAAACATCCACTTAGAAAAAAGATGTCAACCTGGGGGCTAGGGAGGTGAGCTTGCTGTAACAGCAAGAGGAGCTGAGCTAAATCACAAGCACCACACAAAAGCCACACAGGCACCATGCCTGTTGTCCTTTTAAGTAATGTAGAGCCTGGCATTAGTGGTGCACGCCTTTAATCCCAGCACTCATGAGGCAGAGACAGGAGGATCTCTGTGAATTGGAGGCTAGCCTGGTCTACAAAGCGAGTTCTAGGACAACCAGAGCTGTTACACAGAGAAACCCTGTCTTGAAAAACCAAGTAAATAAGCAAACAAGTGGATTCAATCAAGGCTTTGATTATATCTCTACAACAGCTTGGCTGTAATAATTTTGTTTTGTCTTGTTTCGAGGACAGGGTCTCACTGTGTAATCTTGGCTGGCCTTGCACTCATGGAGATGGAGATCCACCTGCCTCTGCTTCTACTAAAGGAGGTCCATGGGTCCCGGGAGCTCATCAGTCTGCCAGTCTAGCAAACATGGCGCTTCTCTCACTCTGGGAGAGACCCTGCTGCAAAACTGAAGTGGAGAGTGGTGTAGGAAGCAGCTGACGGCCTCCCCTGGCCTCTGCGAGCTTGTGCTTGGACGCTTGTGCTCACACACAGTATCAGCTGGGGAACATGAGTTAGGTTTGTTTTGGCTTTGTTGGGGAGGGGTGTTACTTTGTTTTTAGATGGAGTCTTGCTGGTACTGATCTTTCTCATCTCCAAATATGGTCTTACAGGCATGAGCTAAAAACCACTCTTGGCTAAAAAACTTTATTTTGATTTAAAAAAAAAAGGATTCAGTGAAGTACATTCTACCAAGACTTTGATTGTGTTTATATAATAGCATGACTGTAATTTGATATGAATTTTGAGACAAGATCTCAGTGTGTGGCCTTTCCTGGCCTAGAACTCACTCTGTAGACCTGGCTGGCCTGGAACTCACAGAGATCTGCCTGTTTCTGCCTTTTAAGTGCTGGGATGAAAGGAGAATGCCACCATGCCTGGTACTTAGCTATAATTTAATAAAAATATTTGTGTATTGAATAATACATAGGAAATGAAACTATTTCTCCCAGTGTTCTAAGTCTAAACTGTAGATAAAAATAACCTAAGGAACAAAGTAGTGGTTTTTGTGAATTACGTATCTATTAAAATCTTGGTTGTGTAATTAGAGTGTTGTTTAATTTTTTTCTCATTTTCTCCTAAATAGTCATGTTTCTAGTATAGTTAACACCTTTCCATTATCCAAATTCTTGGTCTTTTTGATATGCATAAAGTTCTGCTAATATATATTTGAAATAAATAAAACAAAATCTTTTTAGTTTAGTGGTTCTTAATCTTTTTTAGGGAGAAGAGTCAAAGAACCTTACCTAAGCCATTCTCTTGCCAGCACAAAAATGTTCATATATAGAGAATTTTTGTAATTTTTTACAGTGGATGTTTCCCCTGAATCCAGGTGCCTCAGCTGTATGCTCTCTCTCTGTATGTGTGTGTATGTTCACATCATACATTCTAATAAACATACTGTGTTTAACATATGCTTTTAAAAGGAGTCAAGAATCTCATCATAAAGGAGGCTCTGAGAGTTTGTTCTACAAAACTGTAGAACTCTAACATGTTGCTTGGCCTTGCTTACATGTGTAAGCAGGTTTTGCTGGAATTCTCTGATGTGTGTATGGTGTAAACTGTATTTTTCTTTTCTTATTCTAGATTCAGAAGAAGCTCATTCTGTAAATCCTTCTAGTGTTGATGAAAATATTGACTCAGAACCAGAGAAAGACCCTTTCGTCTGTGAAAGTAAAGTTCTCCCAAGTAAAGCCCCACTCCCATCTGCTCTGGATGAGTACGAGTTCAAAGACGATGACGAAGAAGACATAAGTCAGATGATGGATGACAGGCATATTCTTAGAAGAGAACAACGAAAAGAGAATGAGTCAGAAGCAGAAAAAAGTGGTTTGTTTGCAAAACAGGAGAAAGCCTTCTATTCTAAGTCATTTAAAACTAAGAAGCAGAAGCCATCGAGGGTTCTGTATTCCAGCACAGACAGTTCTGATGAAGACCTTCTTCAGGGCAGCAAAAGGACTTCTGCTGCATGCTCTGTCCCCGAACCATCAAATACTGACACGCAAGCCAGAAGAGAATATGAATATAAACAGAAAGGCAAAGTGAAAAGGAAATTAAAAAATCAGAATAAAAACAAGGAGAACCAAGAGCTGAAACAAGAGAAAGAGGGGAAGGAAAACAGCAGAGTAACAAACTTGACAGTTAATACTGCACTGGATTGTTCAGAGAAAACCAGAGATGAGGGCAGTTTTAGGAAATCTTTTAGCCCAAAAGATGATACTTCCTTACACTTATTCCATATTTCCACTGGCAAATCTCCCAAGCACTCTTGTGGGTTAAGTGAAAAGCAGTCCACACCACTAAAGCAAGAACATATGAAAGCGTGCATATCTCCAGGGAGCTCTGAACTGTCGCTGCAGCCTGATCTTGCTCGGTACGATAGTATGGAGCCTGAATTCTTGCCAGAAAGCTCAAACGTAAAATCCTATAAGCATAAGGAAAAAAACAAACATCAGAAAGATTTCCACCTAGAATTTGGTGAAAAATCAAATGCCAAAATGAAAGATGAGGATCACAATCCAACATTTGAAAACTCAGAGTGCACACTGAAAAAGATGGATAAGGAGGGCAAGACCCTGAAAAAACACAAACTGAAGCATAAAGAGAGGGAGAAAGAAAAGCACAGGAAGGAAGCTGACGGCGAGAAGGAGAAGCACAAAGGCAAGGACAGCGCCCGAGAGCTTCAGAGGAGTGTCGAGTTCGACAGAGAGTTCTGGAAAGAGAATTTTTTCAAAAGCGATGAAACTGAAGATCTCTTTTTAAATATGGAACATGAGTCCCTAACAGAAAAAAAGTCAAAGCTGGAAAAAAGCATGAAAGATGACAAATCAAGTAAGGAAAAGCACGCCTCAAAAGAGAGGGGCTTTAAGGAAGAGCGGGAGAAGACTAAAAAGGAAAATGAAAAATCTCTTAGGGAAGAGAAGTTGAAAGAAGAAAGGGACAGTGTGTCCACAGAGAGAGAAGCCGAGTGTAGTTCTGTGGGTGTCACTGTAAACCAGGAGTCTGCCGGGCCACATTCAGCGGAAAAGGAAATGGACATTGAGAAACAAGAAAAGCATACGAAAGAAAGGGAAAAATCTGACAGACGATTCCAAACTAAGGAAAAAGAGGTTGACAAGATGGAAAGAAAACTTTCAGAAAAAGAAAAGAAGATAAGACATGACCATAAGTCAGAAAAGGAGAAATGGGACTTTAGTGAATGTGTTGACAGAATAAAAGAAAAGGAGAAGCTGTGTTTATACCAGACAGAAAGGTGTCAGAAAGAGGGGGAGAGGATGAAAAGCACGATTAAAAAAGCTGATGACAGAGAGAGGAACAGAGAAAAGATGGATAGAAAGCATGACAAAGAAAGGCCCGAAAAAGAGAGATGTTTAGCAGAAAGCAAAGAAAAGCACTTGGAGAAAAAAAAGTCTGATAATAGTGAGTATGCTAAGTCAGAAAAGGCCAGAAACAAAGACAGGGAAGGAGAGAAGAAGGAGAAATTCAGAGATAAAGAAAGTATAAACGTAACTAACTCCAGACACTTACAAGAAGAGAAAAGGTCAAGTATAGGAGACAGTAAAATCCAGCATGAGAAAACTGTGTGTCTTAAAGAAAAGGCAAGGGATGAACCTTTGAAGACTCCTGATGGCAAAGAGAAAGATAAAAAAGATATAGACAGATACAAAGAACGAGACAAACGTAAAGAAAAAATCCAACTAAACACTCTAATCAAACTAAAGTCTGAGACAGATAAGCCTAAACCTAAATCATCACCAGCCTCAAAAGACACTCGCCCTAAAGAAAAGCGGTTAGTAAATGATGACTTAATGCAGACAAGCTTTGAACGAATGCTCAGCCTTAAAGACCTAGAGATAGAACAGTGGCACAAAAAACATAAGGAAAAAATTAAACAAAAAGAAAAGGAACGATTAAGAAATCGTACTTGTTTAGAGCTTAAAGTAAAAGATAAAGACAAAACAAAGCATACAACTAATGAATCAAAAAATAAAGAATTTAGTAGGTCAAGAAGTTCAGAATTGACTGATGTTTTTAACAAGGAGAAACACTCTAAAGATGTTGGAAGTAATAGATCACAATCTGTTGACACCAAGAACGTACTGAATTTAGGGAAGTCATCCTTTATTTCAGAGAACACCTCGAACCGCTCTCCTAGGTCCGAAAGTGAGAGGCTGGGCCTGAGCTCTAGATCTGTGTCCATGATTTCTGTTGCTAGTTCAGAAGACTCTTGCCACACGGTGACAACCCCCCGGCCTCCTGTTGAATATGACTCTGACTTTATGTTGGAGGGCTCAGAATCTCAATTGTCATTTTCCCAGTCACCTTTTCTGCCAAATGCCAAATCTCCAGCCCTTTATGAAAGGGAGCTGGAGAGCCTTGCTGACCTGCCGGAACGACTTAAACCACCATGTACAAATAGAGTTCCAGTGTGCCATCTCAGGTCGTCTTCTGTGGAAGATGTTAAACTAATTCCTAATGAGGTACGGCCTGCTGTAGAGATCAGAAGATGTAGCATGCCCTCAGTCATTTGTGAACCCACGAAACATTTCCAGATACCAGAAGAAAACACCCAAGGTAGCATAGCTGTGCCACGAGAGACCTGCCCTTCTCCTAACTCTGCAGTGTCTTCAGCAGTGCCGGAGAGAGGGCTGCCACCTGGGTCTGACTTCCACCCCAACTTGACAGGCTCTCCAGCTATGTCTGTAAGCAACAGGCACATTGCATCTGATACAAACGTCATCAAGAGTGTCGGTCTTGCGGGCACTTTAATGGACAGTCCGGTGCACTTAGAACCATCTAATCAGGTTGGAGTGATCCAGAACAAATCATGGGAGATGCCTGCTGATAAACTGGAGTCTTTAAGCACCAATGACTTTATCTGCCCAGACCCTAGTACATCTGATCAAGATTCCTCTGCTCAAAGTTTCTGTAACTCGGAAAACAAAAGGTTAAGAGAACAAAATACTGATTGCCTATCCTCACACCAGACTGAAATGCCAGGAAACTCGTGCACTCAGGATCCAGCATCCTTTCTGTCCTCACTGCAACCCTGCTCCTTTTCCAACGAGGCACATTCAGATGCTGAGTCTGCTTCTAAATCTGTGTCTTTGTCATATGGTGCCAGTCAAGACACAGGTATTTTACAAGAGAGAAATGCAGGTCCTGTGATTAGCTCTGTTTTAGATAGCGATAATAACTTTACAAAGGATGTGGAAAATACGTTTGTCCTAGCAGATATTCAGAAGACGAATTCTTTTGTACCTGTTTACTCTGAAAACCCTGTTGAAGAAACACTCCCAAGCTTTGAGAAGGCAAGCACTGTGCTTGTATTGCCCTCGGGAAAGGACCTCAGTGGAAGCGACACTGCTGCTCAGGTCAGCACGCAGTATGCCTTTAGCAAGCTCACTCACAAGTCTTCCAGTAGCCATGAAGTCGAGAAGAGCATGGATGATACTCAAGTTGTCTCACATGAGAAAGAAAGCAAACTGCAGGGTTTGGTCTTGACTCAGTTGAGTAAATGTGACTCCGATTTGTACGGAATGAATGCAGGGGTGTCCAAAGGAAGCCTAAGTGACCAGGACGCTGCAAAACATGGCCATAGTGGTGAAAAGTACTTGTTCCCCGTTGAAGACGAGGAATCCCAGCAGAGCCCTTTGTCAAGTGTGGACAGCCATTCGCAGCCCTCAGCTCAGCCGGAGATGCACAAATACGACCAGCTCACTAAAGGAGAGTTAGAAGAAAGTGCTGAAGATGATAAAACTGAGAACCAGCTCCCCCAAAGACTGACTAGAAACAAAGTGAGCACAGTGGTCGGTCAGAGTAAGCAGATTCTTGCTGGCTGTACACTCTTGCCAGAAAAAGACAGTGACTCCTCCCCAAGGGGAAGAATAAGGCTCACTGAAGATGACGACCCTCAGATTCACCATCCACGGAAGAGGAAAGTGTCCCGGGTCCCTCAGCCTGTGCAAGTGAGCCCCTCTTTACTTCAGGCAAAGGAGAAAACTCAGCAATCTCTTGCAGCCATCGTAGATTCTCTGAAACTAGATGAGATTCAACCGTACAGTTCTGAGAGAGCAAATCCATATTTTGAATATCTGCACATCAGGAAAAAAATTGAAGAGAAGCGCAAGTTACTATGTAGCGTTATCCCTCAAGCTCCTCAGTATTATGACGAGTATGTAACATTTAATGGATCATATCTCCTGGATGGAAACCCCTTAAGCAAGATTTGTATTCCTACAGTAAGTAAACTATCACTTGATACACATCTGCAACACTCCTGGGCTCGGTGGTAGTGGTCTTGTCTTACTTGGTCTGCAGTCTTCGTACTGGGCGGGGGGTTGGGGGGGCTGTGCATATGCAAGCTGTAGATATCATTTCAAGTTTTCTAGTAAATGTTTTAAAAGTAAAAACAGCCTGGTAGCAGTATATAATCAAAATACAGTTATTTAAGCTATTTTCCTCCTCCTTTCTGCTGACTCTTTGAAGTCTGACATGTTTACTGTCCATGTCGCCCTGAATGACCACATGTCACAAAGCAGCCTCCTTACCAGGTGTCGTGGGTAGCTTTTCCTCACCTGCTCATCCTTCTGTTTCAAAGGAGAGACAGGTTTGATTTCTTTGAAGGCGAGTGCCTCTATATGGACGTGATTGCATTATTTCATCTTCTCTAGAACCTTCCTCTACTAAATACTTCTCACTAGTATTTTTTTCCAGTCTTCTTTCTTGATTGGCCTGTGTTTCTCATTCAGAATATATATGGGTTACTTCTGCCTTAGGGAAAAAAATCTCCCTTGACTTTTCAGCTCATCAACCTTACACTGCCTGTCACCTTCACTGTCGTGATTGTGCAGAGTCCTTTGTGCACAGTGACGTTTTCCAGCTTCCTCTTGAGCCGTTGTGACGTGACACGGGTCACCACTGGGCTGTGACGGCCGCTGGCTGCATCATGTTTGTCGTCTTGGGTCTGACTTGACATCATAGCCGTCTGTTCTTACTAAATTCCCCCGTCATGGGCTTAAGCACTGCTTCTTCTTCTGGGTCCTCTGCCTTAACGACTGAGTTTTCTGTCCCAGCAACTAAATGAGCACTAATTGTGGTGATTGCCTCTCTCCCCCAAGGGTCTGCATTGCCGCTATGGTGTGCTGACTTCATCGCCACCTTAGCTGCTCAGATCCATGAACACTGCATAGTCAAGTATTTATCATGCTACATATACAAATCATATGTGTGTGCTGAGCATTGTGCTGGCACATTCCAAATGGCTGCCATAGTTGCCTTGTTTTCTCGGTCCGGCTTTATGAGAGTCTGTGTCGCATTGCTGCTGCACGCAGGGCGCTTCCTTCCAGCAACCCCAGTGTACAAGAAGGCTACACTGCATCTCCTGACGTAGTACTTACTGTTTGCCGCTTGTCTGTACATGCTCTATCTTTTAATCTGGTACCTTTTAAATGGATGAGAACAAGTACTCTACTAACATTATCAGAGAAGTGATGTTGGTGCATTTCAAGTCTTAACAGATTAGGGTTAAATACCAATAGTAGTAGACTAAGTAATGAGAAGTAAATTTGTTATTGATACAGTCTTTCAGCAAAATCCATTGTTAATAATTAAAAATTCATCTAATAGTTTTTGGTTTGTCCAATTTCTATTTCATCTTAAAAGGTGAAACATTTTAATCAAAATTATGTAGGCTCAGATTCTAACATAAAGAACACGTTATGTTAAAACTTTGTAAGCTAAACCGGGTGGTGGTGGCAAACACCTTTAATCCCAGCACTCAGGAGGCAGAGGCAGGGGGATCTCTGTGAGTTCGAGGCCAGCCTGGTCTCCAGAGTGAGTTCCAGGACAGCCTCCAAAACAATACAGAGAAACCCTGTCTCGGGGGGAAAAAAAAAAAACTTTGTAAGCTAGCTAGAAGTACTTAGAAGTAAACTTTTGGTCACCTCACTCCTGAAAAATGGTGTAATACAAGTGTATTCCCTTGGAGCAGTGCAGAAAGACTCTTTGTTAAATTAGAACTCATTGTTCAAATACTGCTTTAAAAGAGAGTGGTAGAAATTGGATGTAGTGTGGGTTTTGTCTTTAATGAGAATATCAGTGAAGGAGCATGGAGCCATGAAGTAAAGCATTGAAATACCCAAGTGTTGCTGCACACCAGTAGTTTGTGTGGTTTCAATTGAGTGGCTCTGCTTGTCTTCTGATTATCTCTCTCCTTCCGCTTTTCCTCTGATGCACTTGGCTCTTCTTCACAATGCTCACATTGGACTCTCTTAGAGTCTCCTCTACCAGCCCAGGTCTTGAGTGGTGCTCCTCTGTGTTCCTTGAGACAACTGCATACCTACAGGCGGTGCTAGTTTTAAAACAATAGCACCAGACTCATTCTTCTAGTGAGTTTTCAATTCACAAGACACAAAAAAAAAATCAGAGGCCTGAGCACTGATCCCAAATAAGCTGTTGTAGATGTCTGCGCTGTTCTGTGGAGCCCTGTGGGGACTTCTTCTCTGTTTGGGTCTTCAGCACTCCTGTGTCTCATGATCATTGTGACACCACCACAGAGATTGGATGTCCTGCTTTCTGATGGGGTCAGGAAACTCACATGTGAGGAGATAACTTACTTTACCCTAGTAGGCCAGTAGTAGCCATAAACAAGGATATGAAAAGGAAATGACAGAGGCCTCAAGGAGAAGAGAGAATATTCAGGGTCATGATGGCTGCCAGACTTGCCTGTCTGCATTAACAGTAAATTGCAACTCCCTCTGGAATTAATCAGAAAGAGTAGACCAGTGTAATACCAAGTTAGAAATGAGCTCATATCACACACATAAGGTTCGTTACATAGTTCTGTCTACTTTACATGAAAGAGTCGGCTAACACCGAGGCTCTTGTGTTTTACTCTTACCGTCTACAAAGAGGCTTTGCTTATTAAGCTGGAGCACTGCTGTTGTCTCCTGGAACGTCTCTATCTCATGCCGGCCTTTCTGTCTCACTGGCTCCTCCGTCTCTTCGTGTCTGGGAGCTGTAATTAACATTTTAGTCCTAATAGTTTGCTCTTTGAAAAATTTGCTGTGGCCTAAGAATCAAAACATCTAAGTATAATGGAATGTCCTGCTAGGTTCTAGGCAGTTGGAACTGACTGAAAATTCTCACTCAGTGGTGTAATGGCCGCTTTCATCAGACAGACTCACTATGGCAAATAAGCTGACAGTGTTAAGTTTGCCTCCAAGTTTCTGTGATTCATTTCAGTGTTTTCTGAGTCTGTTGTTGTAGGCAGGGTATCATGCTAGTGGGGGCATGTGGTGAGGCTCATCACCTCACGGCAGCCATGAAGGGAACTGGAAGATAAAACCATACCTCTGCCAGGTCTCTCTCTGCAGTCTCACCAACTTCCAGAAGTTTATTCAGATTTTGGGTTGAACAAACTTGGTTTTGACGGAACTGTTGATGAGGGCGCTGCGCCCTCATGACCTATTTGTCTCAGGAAGCTTCTGTTGTCAGGTTCATAACCCCTGGGGAGAAGAGTCTCCTCCCTAAGACTGGCTTGTAGGCATGCCTATGGGGCATTTTTTGATTGGTAATGAATGGAGGAGGGCCCAGCCCACTGCATGGTACCACCCCTAGACACAGGGATCTTGTCTGGGTAAGAAAAGTGACTAAGCAAGTCAGTAAGCAGCATGCCTCCATGGGTTTCTGCTCCTGTCTTTGCTTCCCTTGGTGATGAGCTGCAACCCATAAGCCAAAAAACCTACCCCTCCCTAGGTTGCTTTTGGTCAGGGTTTTAACACAGCAATAGAGAAGAGAATTAAGCAATTCCTTCTATGCATTTCTAATTGGCACTCGAAAGCATTCCTTATTAATCTTCTCAGCGTCTCAGTCTAATCAAGTTGACAAGATTAACCATCACAGAACTGTATTGTTTAATTCGTGGAATGTCAGGGTTTAAGTTACGCACTAAAGTTTAATTATAGATAAAAACTTAATAATTTGTGTGTGCTTTCTAATTAGATTACACCACCACCTTCGCTGTCAGATCCACTTAAAGAGCTCTTTCGGCAACAGGAAGTAGTAAGAATGAAACTACGTTTGCAGCATAGTATCGAAAGGGTAAGGTACCCTCAAATATAAATGCTTGCAAAAAATAACCGTTTACAATATGTAAAAATGGCATATGGCATTTCATTAGTGGATATTGCCTATTTACTATCATTTGGGGAAATGCTGTGATTTTGTTACCTTGTACTCATTCAATTAAAGGGAGATTTACACCTATCTTAAGATATAGCTGCTTCCTTATTACAATTCATGCTGAAGTATATTTTTATGTTTAAAATCTCGGTGATGTATCATTATCAAACAGTGTCTAGTAGAACATTCAGAGTTGTAAGTTTTTGACTGCTTTCTTGGCATAGCAGCCACTTGAGAGCCAATGGCAAAGCCCGTGTTTACTCATCCTTTTGGTATGCCTTACTGTCCAGTTCCAATAGTTTCCTTGTTTTGGTTTTTTGAGACAGGGTTTCTATGTATTGGACTGACTGTCCTGAAACTCACTCTGTAGACCAGGCTGGCGTAGAGGACATGGGTTTGGGCCCAAATGTCCATATAGTTGCTCACAACCATCTGACTGAGTTCCAGAGGATCTGAAGCCCTCTTCCAGTCCTCCATAGGCAGCAGGCACACATGTGCTGTGCACACAGCATGCAGGCAAGACATTTACATGAAGTTAACTCTGTTCCTAGAGGTCATAAACGTCATTCTACATGGGTTTGCAAAGCACATCCCCTCAAGTTGGATGTGGCAGCACATGCCTTTAATCCCAGCACTCCAGAGGCAGAGACAGGCAGATGGATCATTGTGAGCTCAAAGCCAGCCTGGTCTACATAACAAGATCCAGAACAGCCAGATCTACAGAGGAGGGACCCTATCTCAAAGCAGAACATAAGCATATCCATGGTCTCTAAAAGAATGCAAGCGATGATATTTCACAGAAATACCCAAATACTTGTCTTTGATTTATATACAGTGGGTTCCCCATGGCAGAGGCTCTTAAACTTTTTTGTACTTTGGACCAATTGGGACACTTGGAGCCAGTTGTCAGACTGTTTAAGTGAGCAAAGCCGATGTGACCGCAGGAGAAGCAGGAAGGGAGGGTGAAACCCTAGCACAGGCTGGACTCCCTGACACTTGCTCACCGTCGCCCAGCACAGGAAGCAAGAGCGTACGTGCTCCCAGCCTGTCCTCACAAGGCACTGTTTGCAAGTCTCTGTTCTTGATGTTCTCAGAGGTACCCTTGTTGACACTGAAGGCAAAAGTTTAGGGTAACCAAGTAATACAAGCCTATAGCCAGGCTAGCTGGGTTACAGTCTGCAGATGGACATCTGTAGTTCCATGTAATAAGTGCAAAAGATGCACTTTAGGACTCATCCCGTTACATAAGTGGAAGTCTGGGACACTTAACTCATTAAAAAGGAGTATGTTTATTTCTTTTCTTTTTTTTTTTTTTTTTTTTTTTTGGTTTTTCGAGACAGGGTTTCTCTGTGGCTTTGGAGGCTGTCCTGGAACTCACTTTGTAGACCAGGTTGGCCTCGAACTCACAGAGATCCGCCTGCCTCTGCCTCCCGAGTGCTGGGATTAAAGGTGTGCGCCACTAACGCCCGGCTGAGTATGTTTATTTCTGTAAATAACACTGTTGTCTCCATGGCTGGAGAGACGGCTCAACAGTTAAGAGCACTCCCTGCCCTTGCAGAGGACCTGGGTTTGTTTTCCAACACACACATTGCAGCTCAGTCCCCTGTGAGTGCAAGTTCAAGAGATTCAGGCCCCCCCCTTCTAGCCTCTGCAAGCACAGGCACACAGGTGTGTACACAGACACACTGTGCATGAGGACAAACATCACATACATAGAAATAAATCTTCAACCAAGACAGAGAGCAGACGTCCCAAGGAAATACATCTGGGATACATACACAAAGGAATGACCATAATAAATGGAATAATAGAATACACCAAGAGATACATAAGGAAAATGGAACCATCATGCATTATTGTTCAGGATATAAAATTGTTATCAGCTGCTATAGCAACAGTTTGGCTGTTCTTCAACAGTTAACAGACTTGTGACCCAGCAATTTCACTCCTAGTTTGTCTCAAAAAATAAACAGAAGCTTAAGCATAAATGTTCATAACAGCTTTTCATAGTAACCCCAAAGAATAATAACTTTGGGGAAGGCAAAATATTATCTCAGACCTGTTACACCATTTCTGTCTGGACCTGAGAGTCAAAGGGACATAAGGCATCACAACAGAAAGCATATAAATTATGATGAGGAAATGAAGACCCAAAGAAATGCTGAACCCTAATGCGTGTATGTCAGGTTAGGTAAAGAGAGCTGCGAAGGCAAAGGGAAGTGCACTGTTGCCTTGTTTGCGACAAACTAAGCTCGCCTGAGAGCAGAGTGCAAAGCCAGCACTAGTCAGCCACAGGGGTCAGGTAGTGAGGGAGCACACCTTTAATCCCAGCCTCAGGAGGCAGGCAGAGTTCCAGGTCAGCCAGGGCTTTGTTATACAGAGACCCTGTCTTGAACCACCCCACCCATCCCCCAAAAAAGACTTGTCCCCTTCCTCCTGCTGTGTAGGGGGCATCTGTTACTTGGGAATTTCATTTCCTCGGAGTGCCCTTGCTCTAGTTGTCTTTAAAATGATTTCAGCTCAAAATAATCATGTTGCCAAATTAGCATGTGTTGAAGTGGCTTAGTCTGCCCCCCTTCAAATCCAAATGGTCAGCTAATGAAGGCAGACATGAAATAAATGGGTGTAGAAGAGCATGGTTTGGCTATAGCAAAGAAGTAGACGCCTACTACACACTGTGGTGTGGGTGGACCTTGAAAATACTAGACACTGAGTAAGGAAAAGTGGTCGCAGTGTATGATTTTTTTTGTTTTTTGTTTTTTACGAGCAGGGTTTCTCTGTATTGTTTTGGAGGCTGTCGGTCCAGCCCGGCCTCGAACTCACAGAGATCCGCCTGCCTCTGCCTCTGCCTCCCGAGTGCTGGGATTAAAGGCGTGCACCACCACTGCCCGGCGCAGTGTATGACTTTATTTGCAAATAATTGCACTTTCTTTCAAAACAAGTAAACTCATAGGGACAAAAAGTAGATTACTGATAGCCAGGAGACAACAAAGCGAGTGACTGCTGATAATGATATTTCTTTCTGGTTTGATAAACAGACTGGGGGAATGGAAAGTGGGTTTATTTATTATTTTATATGCATGAGGGTTTTGCTGGCATGTATGTCTGTGTATCACATCTGTGCCTGATGACTGGGGAAGTTAGAAAAGTGTTCAGTCCCTTGGAACTGCAGTTAGAGTTGTGAGCCTCCATGTAGGTACTGGGTGCTAACCCCAGGTACTCTTGACCACTGACACATCTCTCCAGCCACATCCATACACTTTAAAAACGAATTTAAGAAAGAAACTGCCAGTTTTGGAGAGAGAAGATTTTTCTAGAATACTTAGGAATTTTTTAATTTCTCAAGCCTCCTGTGAAGAAAATGGTACTCCATATATGGTTAAGATTATTTAGTGTCGCTTAAGTGACGTTAAGTGACTTTATCTAATTTCACAAATAACTTTGTGAATATTTTTTAATTACTCTGTTCATCTAGGAAAAACTTATTGTATCCAATGAACAAGAAGTTCTGCGAGTTCATTACAGAGCTGCAAGAACACTGGCAAATCAAACGCTGCCGTTCAGTGCTTGCACCGTCTTACTGGACGCAGAAGTGTACAATGTGCCCTTGGACTCCCAGGTAAAGTGCCAGCTGACACAGAGTGCTTTCAAGAATTGTAGCATGCCTATCCTTACAAAGGTCTGCCTTGGAGGAAGACAGTTGAATTAAAGTCAAAGAAGAAATGCTAGTCTTAAAAGTATCCTTGGAGCAGCTGGTCCTCTGTATTGTCAGTTGTTAGAACACCAGGTAGCCATCAGGGCATGACAGCACAGGCCTCATCACAGAACTCCATCTCCTTAACAAAAACTAAGGGCTAAGAAGATGACTTGGTGAGTAAAATGCTTACCATGCAAGTATGAGGTCCTGAGTTCAAATCCTGGAACCCATGTAATAGCAGATGGTAGCACATGTCTAGACTCCCGGTTGTCTAGCAAGATGAGAGCACATACATCAGCTCACAGAGACTTTGTCTCACGGAGTGTGAGCCACACAAGCCCTGCAAGTTGTCTGCTGACCTCCACGCACACTCTGGCATGCTGAGGAGTGCCGAGCCTCTAGGCAGCCCCTTGGGCAAGAGTGTCACATTTGAAGCTAGGCTAGACTACATAACACTAGCTAGTCTCAAAACACAAGCAATTTTTGTATATTTTTATTAGTACAGTTATTTATTTCCCATGTGTGTGCACACCTGCATGCCACAGTATGTGTGTGAAGGTCAGAGCCAACTTACAGGAATTGATCCTTTCCTACCACATGGGGAGTCCTGTGGCCTGGACTGGGGTTACTAAGCTCGGCAGCAAGCAACTTTGCTTACCCAAGAATTAAAAAAAAAATAAGTGAATTCTTCAGTAAACTGAAAATGATCTCAGAATTAGAGATGCAACAAAACTGAGCCAGTATCTCTAATAGTTAAATTTAGACTAGAAGACACAGACATCTTGTAGAAGGTGGGTGTTTTCATATTTCAATGCTGCTCCTGACTCTCCTAAACCCTTTGCTTAGATAGCTGCCCACCTGTCTTTAATCTCTCCTAAACAGAGATGCGCTGTTGACAGACAGGGCTTTGGGAATTTAAGTAATTTTATTATACCTTGCCCTAAGTTTTCCTAGTGAACCAGACCACCAGATTTTAAATTAAAATTTTAAGCTTGGTGAAATTCCAGGACTCACTTATTCTCTAGACATGGTTACTCATCCATAGCAGTTTTCAGTTTTAAGAACTGATGGCTTTAGGTAAGTCATCATAGCAGACTGATTTCCCATCAGATGGCCTCTGGAGAACCAAGGAAAGGGTAAATCATGCCTGTCCTTGTTCTACCTTGCCAAAGCTTCTCCTAGCTTATCCTTTTCTCAATAAACTTGGAATATTAAGCAATAAAATTGAAAGTGGCCAAACTGTCCCTGAGACCATGGAGAAAATGAAGTTGATAGGAATATGAGTAGGGGGCTGGAGAGATGGCTCAGAGGGGCTGGAGAGATGGCTCAGAGGTTAAGAGCACTGACTGCTCTTCCAGAGGTCCTGAGTTCAATTCCCAGCAACCACATGGTGGCTCTCAACCATCTGTAATGAGATCTGGCGCCCTCTTCTGGCATATGGGCATGCATGCAGACAGAATGCTGTATACATAGTAAATAAATCTTGAAAAAAAAAAGGAAGAATGTGAGTTGGTGAGTATGAACTTGTCCAATGTCCAGATGTTATCTTGACTATGTTTGTAGAATGGCAGCTACATTGAATACTTTGTGTGTGCACAAACATTGTGATAAGAGCCTTGAACCTCTTTTAATTCTTAAAATACACTTGAGAAGGGCTGGAGAGATGGCTCAAAGATTAAGAGGTCTTCAAGAGGTCCCGAGTTCAATTCCCAGCAGCCATATGATGTCTCATAACCATCCATAATGAGATCTGATGCTCTCTTCTGACAGGCAAACATTCAGACAGAACACTAGATACATAGTAAATCTTTATATATGAGTACATACATACATATTTGAGAGGTACTTTTCAATATATACCATAGAAAGCTGAAAATGTATAATTAGTTCATAGTCACACATAAAGGTACAGAGTTGAAATTGAAATGTATCTTAATTCCAAAACTGATACTGAGAATTTTTTACTTCAATTTTTTGTGCACCTGATGCGTATTTGAGCATGTGTGTGTGGAGGTCAGAGGACGTGTGTGTGTGTGTGTGTGTGTGTGTGTGTGTGTGTGTGTGTGTGTGTAAACGTGGAGTTCTCATTTTCTCCTCAGTGAGTCGTCCTGAGTCATCCTGGGAATCAGGCCCTCGTCATCAGGCTGTGCAGCAGTTGCCTTTGCCTGCCGAGCCAGCTCTCAGGTCTGAGTTTAGAACCTTGAATGATTGGTTCTGGAAGAAGTAGTGCTCTAATGGCAGGTGTCTCCTCAGGGTCACCTCTTGTCCATCTGTCTGATAAACTTTAAGATGCGGTAGGCTCAGCCCTCCCCACACCATGCCTTTCTGAGAAAGCAGGAGGCCTCTGCTTCATAGCTAAATACCGTGTCTTCAGAATTCTAGGAGCACACTAGTAGATATGGGAATAATGGCGTCATTACATTTTCTCTTTAGAAATACATTCCTATCGATAAAATCGGAGCATACACAATAAATGGGATATTATAGGTTTTCTTAGAAAGAGTTTTACTACATGTAATGTTCTTTTTTAGTCTGATGACAGTAAAACTTCTGTGAGAGATCGATTTAATGCAAGACAGTTCATGTCCTGGTTACAAGATGTGGATGATAAATTTGACAAACTGAAGGTGGGTATGTTTACATGGCCGTTGTTATTTGTTCTCGTGTCTCCCAGACCAGCTTTCATCTTGGGAGTTCAGCTTCTTCTGCCTCCTCTTGAGTCTGGATTATAGGCGTGCACCACCATGCTGGATGGATTGGTGCTAGAGACTGACCTCTCAAGTGTTCGCCAAGCCAGTGCTCTACCAGCTGAGCTGCCTGCCTGCCTGCCTGCCTCCCTTTAGGTCAGGCTAGGTGGATGCTTCCCTCGGGACTGCAGCAGTGGCTCAGCAGTTAGGAGCATTGAACTGCTCTTACAGGGGACTCAGGGTCTAGTTCACACACACACACGCACACACACACACACACACCACCATGCATAACACATGCGCATGCTCACGTACACACACTCGCATACACACACCGGTAGCTCACAAGACCTGTAACTCCAGGGGATCCAATGCCTTCTTTGGGCTTCTGGCCTCCACAGGCACTAGGCACATATGTGGTACACATACACAGATGCCTCTGGCCTCCACAGGCACCTTTACTCATCTGCAGGTACCCACACAGAGACACCGTACAGAATTAAAAATAAATCTTGAAGAAAAGAACTACTGGGCTGGAAAGACGACTCAGACATCCTAAGTTCAATTCCCAGCAATCACAACCACCTATAATGAGATCTGGTGCCCTCTTCTGGTGTGCAGAAGAACACTGTGTACACAATAAATCTTTAAAAAGAAAAGAACTACTGGGCTGGAGAGATATCTCAGTGGTTTTGCTCTTCCAGAGGACACGGGTTCAATTCCCAGCACCTATGTGGCAGCTCACAACTGTCTGTAACTCTAGTTCCAGTGGATCTGATTCCCTCACACAGACATGCATGCAAGCCAAATGCCAACATGCATAAAAATTAAATGAATGAGTAAAATTACCTTAAGAAGAGCTACTGTGATATAAAAATATCGAAGTGCCACAGAAACAGTTTTGTGTATCTTTGTACTCATTATCCAATATACCTGTCTGGTTATAGCGCTAACATAAGAAGAATAGAATGATAAAACAAGTACATTTTGCATAGTGATACACACTTACCCTTATCCTAACCATTTGGGATACTGAGGTAGGAAGGTTTCTACAAATTTGAAACCAGCCTGGACTACATTGCAATACCCTGAGCGCCCCCCGCCCCCATTGACTTGAAATTTTCAAGCATTTTGTGTCTAGATTTTACAATTGTTTCAGTAATTTGAAATCTTATGTTTTAAAGAGTATTAGCAAGCCCGATTACAAAGACGACTGTGAAATGGCAGAGCCAGGAGTAGGGCCCTTGGTGTGACGGGACAGAGGTGGCTTTGTGCCTCTTACCCTCGTGTGTCTGTTGGTCCCAACAGCACTGTGGATGAGGTTAATTTGAAACATGAAACACAACAGATTAATGACTCTTCTCTGTTTTTAAATAGACCTGTCTTTTAATGCGGCAGCAACACGAAGCTGCAGCTTTAAACGCCGTCCAGAGACTCGAATGGCAGCTCAAACTCCAGGAGCTCGACCCTGCCACCTACAAGTCCATCAGTATTTATGAGATCCAGGAATTCTATGTTCCCCTTGTTGATGTTAATGACGACTTTGAACTCACTCCTATATAGCATTGGTATTTGTGTTGGTATCGTCTTACACTAACGATACAAGCGTTAAACTGTGGAATACTGCCTTTTAAGAAAAAAACTGATAATACGCCTTTACAGTTGTTAGTGAAGTTAGCTAAAGTTGGTTGTGTAGTGAACACTGTCATTTTATAAAAATAAAGAAAAATATTTTGGATCTTAGGTCCAAGTACAGTTTCTAGCAGAAAACTATTATTTATATTGATCAAAGGTAACTATTACATTAGAACTCGTTGGCAAACTGAGTAGAACTTTAAAAAGTTAAGAAAAATCTGTTAACAGCGCTGGAAGTTGTTAGCACTCTAACAAGATAACCAACCACAAATACTCAGATCTCTTGCGGGTTTTATTAAAAGTACATGAGTAAACTCAAAGATTCAATTCCTACCAAATAGTTTCTAATGTGGAAGAAAACCTTGGCACAAAATTCTTCAGTTTATCTTATCTGTAAATTAATTGTACAGTTTTCTTTTTTGAAAGTTTTAATATTGTCTTCCTTTTTAATAACTTATTTTATATATATTGTACATCTTGTAATTAATGGTCAATGTATACAAGGGAACTGCCCTCAACCGTGTACAGAGATGACTGTAAAACTGTTTGTTCTGTGGACCAAAGTTGTAGTTTTGGAGTGTACTAGCAGGTGTTCAGGTCGTGGAGCTTTAGTGGGCATGCATGTGTTTGGGTTAGCTTGCGTCCATCCCATAACTGTCAGATTGGTGGCTTGGTTGTGTCGCATGCTTTCTATAATTTAACTTTCTGTAACTGACGCCTGAGACAGTGAGACTTCTCATCCCAGTTTCCTGCAAGAGAACCGGGCATTTTTTAATCTCTGTGGGACACACTGACAGAATCAATCATCAGAGAAGCACTCGCTCTCTTTATCTCCCTGGAGACGCCTGCTTCCCTCAGAACAGCAAACAATGCCTTTGGATGGAAATTGTGAAATTGTAAATGTCTATTTTAATACTCAGCTATGAAAGGATCTGTGAATATGTGTAAATATGTTTAATAAATTTTATTGGTTATGTTAAATCATTGTAAACTTTCTTACATTGCTTAAATTTAATCTTTTAAGCTTAATAGCCTTTGCACTTTTAAAATAAAAATTGAATGCTCAAATCAAAATAAGATACTTGGTAGTCAGAAAGTAAAAGTCTTAGGAATATTCCAGTCCCTGAAATGTTCATGAAGATTTTATTAATATGTTGTATTTTTCCTTGTATCGAGATGCAAAATGTGTAATTTGTAAAATACCATAATTGAAATAAGATTTGGTATGCTTTTTATAGTAAAATAAGGAGCAATATACGTAAAACAATTTCTCCTATGACACGATGTAGATTGGATGAGATGCAGACAAAACGTGCTGCTCAACCTGTGAAACATTCAGAAAGGGAAATTAGATTAATCTATATAGATTAAACATTTATGAACCCTGCCACAACACTAATACTAGATATTTCCTATTTGGATAAGGAAAGATAAAAAATGTGAATTACATGGTTGAAATTCAGCTCACAAGTTGGAAATCCCAACTAGCAAAAGAAAATATTTGGTTTTTCAGTGCAAAGGTACATATTAAGCTTAGAGATTTTTGAATTGTTACATCAGTTTATATATTCACTCTTACTGTACTGGCATGCGCAATACGGCAGCAGCACGTGAGAAATATCCAGTGCAAGGAGTTAATGGAGGTGGATGTCGTGTCCTTAGAAATTTAGGGGAAAGACTTTGGCCTTTTCATTTAATTAAATGGGGCCAGAAAGGCAGGGTAGACTTTGAAGCACTGGTTTTTGTTGAAGTTATGTTTATTAAGGCTGGGAACATTGGAAGCTAATTTATAAAAGCAATACTTTTTACTACAAAAACAACTTAACGCAAAGTTTGTTTATTCTTTATCCTAGAAAGGAAATTTGATGAGCTCATGTGACAAATTACAAAAATGGAACAGGATGATTAAACGTTCAAGAGCAGGAGAAAAGTAATCTGTGAAGCGTTTTGTTGTGACTGTTCAGCCAGGGGGAGGTTTGGGAAGTGGGGGGGGAGCGCTTCATGGAAGCAGGGGACAGCAGGTACAGCCCTCAGTCAGCCCAGCTTTCTAGTCCTAGCCCCAGTGCTCATTCTTTCAGGGTAGCTCAAACAGCGGGAGCCTCTGCCACAATTCTGCTACCACACACTTCCTCTGCAGCCGAGTCACTGAGCTTCATAGGAAGTGTGCGTTAGTACATCGTTAGCACTCTTGATGTCAGACTTTCTGAAGGTCTGAAATACTAGAGGGAAAATCTCAGAATGGTTCTATGCCTAAAACGATTTGGGTTCTCAAAGAAAAATAAGGATGCTGAATTTAATCAGTGATTCTTTTTAAACTATTGAACATCATGAACAAGATATTAAATTGTACCTAAGGATTTGTATTTCTTTGTCTTGTTCTAAATCATATCTGTTTAATAAATGACTAGTTAATATTTGTGCATGTTATTTAATAAAGAGTTATATTTTTATAGAAAAAATAAGAGTGAAATGTGTGCTAAGTGTTTTTTACATAATGTTCCACTCCTGTATAATTAAGTGAAACAGTGTTTACTTGGGCCTCCAGCAAGATTGCAGAAATACTCATCTTGTGAAAACAATCCCATTCCAATCAACTGAGTAAGGAGAGGTCTCACAAATGCATTGTAAGTAGGAGGCACGCTGCACAACCCCCAAAGCCCATGCACCTCATTTGAGTGACACATGGCATCTAGTGGTCCAAGAAACCCAGTGAAACCGTTTCCTTTTTCAGAAGGTTAGCAACGTCGTAAACTCTACCTCTACTGGTCTTACGTGCGACTCCCAAGACTTTACACAAAGGCTATTGACTAGTTAAGGGAAACATTTCACCACTAAAGAGAAACACAAACTGTTTTTTCACCAGGCAGACAATTCATGCCAGCATTTGGGAGACTGAGTCAAAGCCTCATTGATTGAACTGTTATGAGACCGTCTCAAAACAATAAAGTCAGTAAATGTTCCAGACACTTAAAGGAGGAAGGCAAAAAATAATAATCTTAGGAGATGTATGTGAGGTTTAATGGTTAAAATTCCATTTTGTTTGTTTTTGTTTTGTTTTTGAGATAGGGTCTCAATATGTAGCCTTGGCGACCTGGTACTTGCTATGTAGACCATGCTAACCTCAAACACAGAGATCCACTTTCCCTCTGCCTCCCAAGTGCCAGGATTGAAGGTGTGCACCACCATGCCCAGCTAAAGTTTCTTGTAACCCATTATCTTGGTGGCTTCTTTGAAGTCTTGTGTGTGCTTAAGAGGGAGTTTAAGACCCCACAGAAATAGTCCTAGAAGCTGCTTATGAAAACTAGGGTTCATCAGAGAAACTGGGCAACATAAAGTAAACAATCCCATTAACTCAAACTGCTCTAACTACAGAATTTCAAGTATTGGCACAAAAGTAGCCACTACATCTGGAAGGTCAGCCAGTTTCTCCCGTGAGTAAAAGTACACAGTATCCACAGTAATACAGGTTCGATCCTGGTGCATACCTCTGCCAGAGCAAAGTCTGCTCACACTGGGGCCAGTGTTAGTACATGCAAACCTAAGAAAGCACATTGGTCGTGTTTTTTAAAAAATACATTTTTTAAAAAGTGGTTACTCTATCCACATCTTCAACTAGTACCAGACAAAAAGCCTTTATGTAGCTAACTTCTCCCTGGATTTTTAGAGTGATGTTACACACCTAGGATAGGTTCACAGATTGATAGTCACTATTTGTCACCCACATTCAGCTTTACATTTGTCAGTAGTTTTTTTTAATGCGTATGAGTTAGATCTAATTTTTTAAACAACCCAGACCTAAGTAAGCAGTCTGATAGCTCCTTGTTACAAGTACCCAAATGAACACAGAAAGTCTTCATCACCCCAGAAAGCCCCCATCCTCTCAGTCCATGCTGTGTCCCCCAGAGGCAGGCAGTGGGCTGTTAGCCTTCACTCTGTGTTAGTCCTACCTAGTCCCAAACTTTGTGGAAGTGAGCTCATGTGACATATACCTTGTGTCTGCCCTCCTTCTTAAGCAGATTTTGGAATTCATATGTGTTTCGTATATCAGTAACAAGTAATTTTTAACAAATAGTGTGATTGTACAAATGTGTTCTCTTTGTTCTTAGTGTTTGGATTGTTTACAGTTGGGATATTGTGAATAAACATACAGACATGGAAACCTTAACTGTGGGTCTGCTTTTTTATTTCCCTTAGGTATTTACTGTCACAGCTTAGGTTAGTGTCTGTCCGTGGTAGACAGTGACAGCCCTCCAACATAGTGCACCGTCTGTACCACTACAGCCGTGCATGGCAGATGAGCTGCTTGGAAGCCTGTCTGGAGCTTGGTGACACTGGGGTCAGCATCCGTGATACCCTGGGCTTGCTTCCAGCACTACAGAGGTGAGGAATGGGACTAAAGACATCGTCAGTCAGTTTTAGCCAGTTCCGTGGATGGAGAAAGCCTTGTGTAGTGATTGCTTGTCCTTTTAACTTGTATGCTTCCAGCAGCTATCTGTACAAGTCAGTTTGGCTTTCTTTGATGTTGTTGTTTTGTTTTGAGACAGGGTCTCTTGTGTAGCTGTCCTGGAACTCATTATGTAGACCAGGTTTGACCTCAGAGTCACAGAGACCCACCCGCCCCTGCCTCCTAAGTGCTGGGATTAAAGGTGTGCTCTGCCACGTCTGATCTCATTTTGTTTACGTCCTGAAGCACTTTTCTCACTTCCTTCTAAGCTGTCTCTTGGTATGTTGGTGGTCTTTCCTGTGCTATGCATAACAGTCCTTTGTCAGATACGGACTCTGTGGATGTTTTTATCCAGTGTATGACTTCCCTGTTTCCTTAGGGACTAGTAGCCTTGTTCCTCCTCCTCCTCCTCCTCCTCCTCCTCCTCCTCCTCCTCCTCCTCCTCCTCCTCCTCCTCCATGTTAGTGCTGTCTTTCAGTGGCCACACTGTCATTACAGGCGGAGCTTTAGTTGGCCTTCCGTGCTGTACACCCCCCACGTATGTAGCGTGTGTGTCACCTGGCACAGCGCGTGCTCTTGTGCTGGCGATTTCTTGGAGAGGTGGGGGCATCAGTGAAGACAGCTGGCAACCATGCTGGGACCAAAAGCTGATGGTCATTCAAGCACCCCAGGCCTGGAGGACTGCCTTCCTAGGGCTTTTGGGGGGGCTGCCGGGAGTGGGGAGGTGGTGTTTGCCCTTTTACCATTGTGTGACTTTCTAACAGTCACTTCCTGATCATCTGAAGACTACCAGTTCGATGATGTAGATAGAAGTTCCGATGTTGACACATTACACTCTATAACATCAAAAGTTCACGCTTGAGGCCAGTGACATGGGGTTCGGGTAAGGGTGCCTGCCACCAAGCCTGGCGACCTGAGCTCAGTTCCTGGAACGCACAACGTGGAAAGAGAGACTAGACTCCCCTTAGTCCTCTGGCTTCCACAGGTGTGCCCCGGCACTTTGAGGCCTACACAGAAATCCACACTTGGTATTGTCAACGTAAACAGCTTTCACTCCAGAGTAGAGAGGTCTCCAAATACGACTGACTCTGGCCTGTAGATTCAAGAGCCCAAATGCCTTGTTTCGCTGGAGAAACGGTTAAGGTCAGCTCTTCATAGTCGCAGAATGCATACTCACAGTCATGAGACAATGCATCCACCAAACGTTGAGGACGACAGGTAGGTGGGTTGAAGTTAAGTAGGGAAGCCTCTGCAGTAGGTTGGCCTCTAAGTACTCAGAAGGGTGCTAGGTCGGGTACTTAGATGGCAGTGACCGGCTATCACAGTGACTTGGGACTGCCCCTGAAAACTTCAACTCTCCGAGTGAAGCGTTGCATGGCCACACGCGTACTTGTCTGCAGAGTCCTCGGCAGAAGTTTTCTCATTTGTGTCTGAAACATCCTAAGTGTTGGAATCTCTGTCCAGGGACACATCTTCCACAGTCTGACTTTCACCTTCAAGGATTTCCTGCAGCAGTGTTCACTGCTGACACGGTTTCTTAAAGGGACAGGTGCCCACAGGCATGTCCAACCACCCTGGCATGTAACATGCCATCTACAAAGATCTCACTTGAAAACCATACAGTCGAGGCTATTGAGTTTTGGTTTGCTTAATCACATAAAGGTATCTTGAATATTTAGTTTTATGATTATATGCATGTGCTGGAGCGTGTGTCTGCCGAAGAGCCAAGATGTGACAACAGTTCTCCTGACACTCATCCAGGGGCGTTTCTCCGGCGTATACAACAAAAGTATCTTATGCTCTTCTCTGTTTTGTTAGGTAAAACGTGTAAGAAGGGGAGGTTGGGGACTGAGATGTGCAGGTGTGTGCCTGCATGTGTGTCTGTCAGAAGAGCGCACTAGCTACTTGGAACTGAAGTTACAGATGGCATGAAATGCCTGCCGTGTGCGCGGGAAATTGAGTCCTCTGGGAGAGCGTCTCTTGGCTGCTGGAGGAGCTGTCTAACCCTGTAGTTGGCTTTTGTTTTAAACTGAGAGCTTGGTGGAAGGAGCTTTAAGAACACAGTTGGACGTGTCTTCCTTTGTGTTAGACCTGGGGACAGTTTGAACCCTGCTTTCCCTGGCAGACCATCTCGGGGGCCCCAGATGGAGACTGTCAGGGTCCACATTTCGCTGGCCTAGATTGGGACCTCCGAAATGTAACAGCTCAAAGCCGGAAGTTTTTGAAGGAGGTGATAGAGAGCATGTCTGCAGTCCTGTCACTCAGGGCAGCCTCAGACAGTACACCCCGTCCTCACAGCAACAAGGACAGTAAAGCAGCGAGGAGGCTGACGAGGTGTAGAAGGGGTGAAGAGCGGTAAGGGCTGTCGCCTGCGGCTCGTCACAAAGACGTGCTGTCGCCTGTGGCAGGTGTGGGTGCCCGTGCCCGGCTTGCTTTGTATCCGGGTGTGATGTAAGCATTATTTTATTAGACGTGCCTTGGAGGGATGGGGAGATAGGTGGGTGAGTTAAGCCCGTTACCGGTGAGCGTGAGCACTGGTGTTCCGATCCCCGGTGGGTGTGGTGGCCTGCCCGCAGTCCATGTGACTAGTCAGATGAGCAGAGGCCCAGAGTTGTGGCCCATTGGTCATTGGTTTGGGCAACATGAAAGTTAATCATCCACATTATCAGCAGCAAACCTCCCCCACTACCCCCACTCCCCACATACATGCTCACACACACAGATAAACACACACACACACACACACCACATGGCTTCAAGAGGCTGGAAACTTGCAGACCTAATACCACAAATGGACATGCTTTTGTAAAGTGCACACAGCTTTGACTGTTAGAAAACTTCCTCTAGAAAGCTTAAGCCCCACCCCTGGGATACCATCGCCCCTGGAGTAATAATTTAGAGACCCGCAATAATTGTATTAACTACACTATGACGGTCATTTAGCCTGCCCTGCACAAACTGGGTCAAACAGTGAGAACCTTAGGGCCCCTTTCCTATACTTTGTGCTTCTGAGGTCCTCTCCGCTCACGTGACTACCAGGGCAAGAGGACATGCCTAGTGAGTCCTGGTGTGTCCCCGCGTCCTTGCACAGGCCCCCAGCCACCCACCCTCTCATTCTCAAGCTGCAGAGCCTGCGCAAGCCTCCACACTTGCAAACACCGGACAATGGCCAGCAGGCTGAAGTTTTGAAGGGTGTGGACACACATTTTTTAAATTAATTTATGTATTATTTATACAGTGTTCTGCCTGCATTTTTGACTGCAGGCCAGGAAAGGACACCAGATCTTATTACAGATGGTTGTGAGCCACCATGTGGTTGCTGGGAATTGAATTCAGGACGCTTGGAAGAGCAGACAGTGCTCTTAACCCTTGAGCCATCTCTCCAAATGTCTGAGGGAGACTGTCCTAGGTAGAGGCTGAGCTAGTTAGGGACCTTGCAGCTGGCAGCTGAATCACCTTTGCAAGGCTTCTCAAAAGCACTATTGTTAGCCGGGCATCACAGCTGAGAAACGCAGAGGCAGCCCAAAGCTGACGCTGTCCCCAGGGCACTCATCAGAGTTTCCCGAGAGAAAAGCACTTCAGGCAGTGTTTCCAGTGCTGCTGTGGCATCAGATTGCTTCCTCTCAAATTAGCGGTGACGAACAAATGATCGACTGCAATCTAGCAACTTAAAAGAATACCCAGTTTGGCTCAATACGACTTCGCCTCAGAGATCATGAGTCTAAAACAAAGGCTTTCCCTTCAGCCTGCAGACCTTAGGGAGGACTCCATTTCCAAGGTCATTGTCGTATCAGAACTCAGTCCCTTGTGTTACCTGACTGGCTGTCAGCCAGCAGCTCCTCTAAGCTTCTAAAGGTCATCCTCCTCTATGCCGTGAGGTGCGGTCCACCTACAGGTCTCTAATGATACCTGGATCTTTCCCATGCATCGAATCTGATTTCTGCTGGTGGTAACTGGTCAAGTCTGGATTCAAACTTGAGAAACTTTTGTCTGGGCACCTCCAAGCCTCCAGTCATCTCACTGGAAACAACAAAGGGCTTGGAGACTAAGGAGTAAGAGGCCGGGCCAGGGATGGAGAGGGTGAGGGAGACCCAGTAAGAGAAGTCCTTGCAAAAAGGAAAAAAAAAAAAGTAGATTGTGTTTACATAGGGAGACCCTGTCTCAAAACAAATAATTAGCCATACCATATTGAAGTAGAATAAGGTAAAAAAAATTACGTATATATTAATTACATACAGTAGATTTCACTGTGAGGTTTTCATACACATATGTATACACGTACTCATACACAGTCTGTTACCCTCTCTCGTCCCCACCCCACCCCCCTTTGTCCCCTTCCCAACCAGCCAGTCATGGCTGTGTGTCCCAGGGTGGCTGTGTGTCCCAGTGAGTTCCATTACGAGTGTTTACAAGAGTATGGGAGTCTTACCAATGGCCGCACAACTAAAGATGCTTCCCCTGCCCCCTTAACTGGGTAAATCTTCAGGGAGGAGTGACATAGCAGGTTTTTTTTTTCTTTTGGGCCACCAACCAGCTCCCACATCATGACATTGGGATGTGGGCAGACTTTTCTTTCCCACCCGCCAGTTCCCAAATAGCCAATGCAGAGACTCAGTATTAATTATAAATGATCGGCCAATAGCTCAGGCTTGTCACTAGCTAACTGTTACATCTAAATTTACCCATGTTTCTTACCGGTGCTTTGCCACATGGCTTGGCACCTTTTCTCAGTACTCTGTGCCCATCTTGTTTCTCCCTGCATCTGCTTGAGACGCCTCAGACTCTGCCCATCTTCCTCCCAGCATTCTCAGTTTGGCTCTCCCAGCTAACCTTATCCTGTCCAGCTACTGGCCAGTCAGCCGCTTTATCAAACCACTCACAGAGACATATATTCACATGCCACACCGAGACTTACTAGTTATGAATGCTGGGCCTAGATTAGGCTCATTTCTGGCTAGCTCTTTTACCTTAAATTAACCTGTTTCTCTTTATCTACCTTCGCCTTGGCACTTTTTTGTTTTGTTTTGTTTTTTCAAGACAGGGTTCTCTTGTTTTGGAGCCTGTCCTGGAATTCTCTCTGTAGACCAGGCTGTCCTCGAACTCACAGAGATCCGCCTGCCTCTGCCACCCGAGTGCTGGGATTAAAGGCGTGCACCACCAACACCCGGCAGCCTTGGGACTTTTTTGTTTTGTTTTGTTTTACTTTTCTTTCCTTCTGTACATCCTGCTTTCGCTGCTTCTTGTGTCTGGCTGGCAGCATCCTGGCTTCTGGCCCTGGCTGTGTTCCTCTCTTTCTCCCTCGTTCTCTCCTCCTCCTCATTCCCCGCCTCAGCCTAAATGTCTCTCCTATTTATTCTCTCTCCCTGCCAGCCCCGCCTATCCTTTCTCCTGCCTAGTTATTGGCCATGCAGCTCTTTATTAGACCAATCAGGTGCCTTAGGCAGGCAAGGGTGAAACAGATGCAACTCATCTTTACATAATTAAACACGCATCCTTACATGGTTAAACAAATGCAGCATAAGCAAAAGTAACACACCTTTACACAGTCAAAGTAATATTCTGCAGCATAAACAAATGTAGCAGTTCTTTACATAGTTAGATATTCCACAACAACTAATAGCCAGAGTGTGTATAGGACTTAGGCCCAAGGAAGTTTTCTGGGGTGATTTTGAAAGGTGGACTGGATGCTGCTTGGCCAGAGACTCAGGGGTACTTATTTAAATTCTGTTGTTTTCTTTGGCGTCAGCTCTGTCACCAGGCTATTGTCTTTCTGTTATCGTTTTGTTTTTAATTAGCTTAAACTGTTTTCCACATGTGGGCAAGCTTCATACATCTGTTTGTGGAGGTACACCTGTCTCGTGCCAGTCACGGGGCTCTGGAGTTCATGGATGGTCAGGTTCCCAGCAGAGAATACAACCCCATGCTCTTAACTCTGCTCCACATCAGGACCTGGGATCTTAGGCACAAATAAACACGGAGAGACCGCTTGCTGTAGACTGGAGGACAGTACAGCTTACTCAGGTTTGGTCCAGGTTGCAATGTGAGACACCGGTTTGTGGTGAGGAAGGCTGAGAACCAGTGTGATGGATGCTTAAGAACCGAGTTAGGCCGGGCGGTGGTGGCGCACACCTTTAATCCCAGCACTCGGGAGGCAGAGGCAGGCAGATCTCTGTGAGTTCGAGGACAGCCTGGTCTACAGAGCAAGATCCAGGACAGCCTGGGCTACATGGTGAAACCCTGTCTCAGAAAAAAAAAATCAAGTTAGAGCCAGCCCTCCTCTTGTTTTACCATAGAGTGGTGGTCTTTGTTGGAGGCTTGGCCACATCCTCCTATTTCTGGTTTCTTCACAGCTATTTTCTTGTAGCTGTCTCCCTGATAGCCTAACCATTGGGTCTAGCCTCCTCCCCGCCTCTGGAAATGAGCGCTCGTGAGTACATCCATGCTGGGCCCCGAACTCTCTCGGCATTCCTCACTCCCCTTAAGCAGCTACCCCTTGAAGAAGTCGGGCTGCATGGCCCCTGCATGCTCTCTTCCAGGCTTGGGCGCTCTCTGGGGAGTGCCTGGGTTGGGTTTTGGGAGGCCCCTCCCGACCCTCCCACTGATGTAAGCTGGCTCCGTTTGTGCTGTTGTTGGACTGGCATCAAAGCCGCTCCTCTTCCTGGTTCAGATTCAGCTGGGTCTGTTGTCTGCCGCTACCCTCCGGCCTCTGCTTCAAAGCCAAGCAATTATGTTCCTGCTCCTGGCGAGAAGTGCCAGGGATTACATTTCAGTCATCAGTCCCCAAGTGAACTATCAGAGGCTTCAGCACACGGCAGTTGAACGCCCCCTGGGCCGCAGAACGCCCATCACAGAGGCAACAGATGATGCATCGGTGCAGCTGTCTCCAGTGGAATTCATTCCATTTTTTTTCCCTCCTGGTGTAGGCCTGACCTTAAAAGAGCAATTTGTGGAGCTGAGATGACTCCATTTTTAAAGCCAACTTTCTGTGCAAGAGAGAAGACCCACATTCAAAATCATCAGAAACCCTCCTGGGTTGGCGCAGTGGCCTGCCTGTAACACCAGCCTCAGACAGCACAGACAGGGGTGTCCCTCTCACCCCCAGCAAAACGCCAAGGGAAATGAGCCCTAATATAGGGGGATTCTGGGCTTGACTGAGAGATCCTTAAGAAGGGTGGGGATTAGCTTAGTGGTGGAGTGCTGGTCTAGCCTGCCCAAGGCCCTGGGTTGGTCCTCAGCTACGGGGGTGGGAGTGGGGGTGGGAAGGAATATGTCAGACCTCCACTTTGGGTGTTGTGGCGCCCGCCTTTAATCCCAGCACTTGGGACACAGAGGCAGAAGGATCTCTGTGAGTTCGAGGCCAGCCTGGTCTATAGAGCAAGTTCCAAGGCAGCCTCCAAAACAATACAGAGAAACCCTGTCTCGAACCCTACCCCCCCCAAAAAAGGAATATCACCGGGTGGGTGTTGGTGGTGCTTGGTAGATAGAATCAGGAGGAACTCCGTGAGTTCGAGGTCTGCCTGGTCTACAGAGTGAGCTCCAGGACAGCCAGGCTACACAGAGAAACCTTAATAATAGTAATGATAATAATAATTTCAAATGTTGATAGGCACAATACATATAATCTCTTTGGAACACTCCATGTTTTTCAACACTGTGGAATCCTGTGACCAACAGGTCCGAGACTCACTCATTTACAATATCATTTTAAGTGGTTGAACTAGCGCGTTGATCCAGTGTATCACAATTCCTGTAACCCACAAAGAAGGCTGAGAATTAAATGTGTGTAGACCCTCATTTTCTTAGGCTAGTTTTCAGGGCTGCTCTATTTACTGTGTGGGGTGTATTGCTGCCTGTGAGTGTGTGCACAGGCGTACCGATGATAGGTGAGGTACTCCTCTACTGCTCCTCGATTTTTAAAACAGTGTGTGCACAGGCGCACCGATGATAGGTGAGGTACTCCTCTACCTCTCCTCTATTTTTAAAACAGTGTGTGCACAGGCGTACCGATGATAGGTGAGGTACTCCTCTACCTCTCCTCTATTTTTAAAACAGTGTGTGCATGCAGATGCACGTGCATCCGTGTGTGTGTGTGAACCCGAGCACATGTGTGTGTGCTTGTGTATGTATGAGTGCATGCGTGCATGCCCGTGTGTGTGCACTCGAGCACATGTGTGTGTGCTTGTGTATGTATGAGTGCATGCGTGCATGCCCGTGTGTGTGCACTCGAGCACATGTGTGTGTGCTTGTGTATGTATGAGTGCATGCGTGCATGCCCGTGTGTGTGTGAACCTGAGCACATGTGTGTGTGCTTGTGTATTTATGAGTGCATGCCCGTGTGTGTCTGGGCTCCTGTCGTGGCACCTGTGTGGAGACCAGAGGAAGACTTGCAGGAATCGGTTCTCTACTTGTGGATCTTGAGGATGGCAATGCTTGGTACCGGCTGAGCCACCCTGGATGGCTTCTTTGTTTCTAGACAGGGTTTCTCACTGCACCAGGAACTTCAGTGAGCTCCTGCAGTCTCCACCTCCGCCCAGGGCGGGGATTCATTCTTCAACTGCTGTGCCTGGCTTTTACACGGACACTATGGATCTGAACCAGGTCCTCAAGCTTGCGTGGCAGACACTTTACCAACCTAGCCATCTCCTCAATCCACGATTTAAAAAAACAAGCCTATACCTTACAAAAATGAAATAACGATATGGGCCACTTCTTAGCTAATAGCCTATTTCTATTCTCAGTCAATGGCCTGTTTCCGTTGTGCGGCTCTCTGGTAAACCGAGGAGAGGGGAAAGCATCTAAGACACTTCCTAGGTTAAGGGTTTGACACTAGGCCGTTCTAAAGTGAGAGGGTCCTGTGGGCTCCAAGACAAACGGCTCTGGAATATTGCTGGAAAAGCAATTTCCTGGGCGGCGGGAAAAAGGCTAAATGAAATTGTAGATTGCCTTTCTTTATGTGCTACTGGTGGGATAAGCCCCATGTCCCTAAAATACAGGACGAAATGCCTGGTCAAGCCAGCATTGCTGGGACCCTCCCTTTCCATCTGAGGCTTCCGGTTGGTTCTCCCCCCACCCCCCAACCCCCTAGACCTAGCGACCTTCCCCTGCCAGGATTCATCGCTGCCCTCTCCCAGTTTTGACTTAAGGGCAGCCCCAGGAGCTCCCAGGATTCAGAAATTCTTCGTGAGCCTCGCCTCTTGAGTCAGGCGTCAGCCCTATCGCCCTCCTCTGGCCCCGTGCCTCCTCCCTTACACCCGTGGCGGGGGACAGCGCAGCCGGGCTCTGCTAGAAGGGGTGGCGAAAACAAACGCCCTCCTGCTGGAGCCAGAGGCGAGCCGTCCAACAGGTGGCAGCCGACCAGAGGCTCGCGGGCGGGGCCCCGGCTCCGCGCCAGGGCGAGCGCACACACCTGGGGGCGTGGTCTCGAGGGCGTGGCCCGCCCGGGCTCCGGGGGCGTGGCCTGCGGGCGGGGGCCTGGGGGCGGGCGGGCGAGCGAGCGGGGAGCGGCGGGGGAGCGGGCGGGCCTGCGTGGTAGCGGCGCCGGGGCTCGCGGGAGCTGCTCGGAAGCTCGGCCGGCGGGAGGAGGCCGTGGCCACGGTGAGCGCGGGCGGGCGGGAGGACGAGCGAGCGGGGCTCGGAGGCCAGGCCGCGGCGCTCGGCGGGGGGAGCGGGTGCCGGGAGGCCCGAGCGGCGGGGACAAAGGGCCGCGGTGCTCGCCGCCTCCGGGACCCCGGGTCCGGTGCTCGACGCCCCTCCCTCCCGCCCTGCGAGGCGCGCGGCGGTCACCTGGCTCCCGGGAGGACGGCGGCGGACGGCGGCGGAAGCCGGGGCCGCCTGTGTGTCCCCGCGGTGGGTCGGCGGCTGCGGGCTGGGTCGGCGGGGGGAGCGAGCGAGGAAATGGGGCTCCTAACGGTCCCCGGCCGACGGTGCTGCGCCCGCGGTCAGCGGCGCCGACCCCGACTTTCTGTTTCGGAACTGAGTCGTGCCCGGTGCGGAGAGGCCGCGCCGGCGACCTCCGCCTTTTTTTTTTTTTTTTTTTTAACCCTCCCGACATCAGAAGTGTGTCCTACCGTTTGGAGGGGGATTTGTCTCCGTTGTTTAGGAACAAAACGTCTTCTTGTGCGTGCCCGTGCGAGCATGCACGCTTCCGTCCTGGTGCTGCTTAGGGGCCCAGAAGAGGGCGTTGGAGCTGCCCGAGCTGCCAGGTGTGGGGTGCTGGGAACCGAACTCGGGTCTCCCGACAGGAGCGGCAAGCGTTCTCAAAAACACCAGGTCATCGTCTCTCCAGCCCCTTATGCTTATCTTTATTTTTTAATTTATTTAATTTGGAAGTCCGTTTTCCTCCCGCCCTGTTTGCCAAATGCTGGGGGTTACAGGCACGTGTCACCAGGCCCAGCTAATACTCGTTTTAATTGGTTGCATTGGGAATTTGTGGTTTAGCCTTAAATTACACCTTGTAAGCTTTTACTTTATTATTATTCGTGTGTGTGCGCGCGCGCCTGCGCACCTGTGCCATGGTGTGTATGTCAGAGCACGACTTTTATGAGTTTGAGGCGCAGAAGAAGGTTGGCCAGCCACCTCGCCCACCCGCAATCATAACCCTATGAAAATTTGTGTTGGTGCTCCTCCCTTTATTTTCTTTTTGTGCTCTGATACCTTCTTAATAATGGAAGAATCTTTGTGCTAGCAAAAAGAATATCTTCACATTTACCCACAGTTCTTAATACAATTAATAATTTACTGGCATTCGTTGTTGGTACATTTATGTGAATGGTTGTGGATTCCATCCCTCCCCTCCCCCCGAAGTATTTATTGACAAAATGACATAGTCATTAGGGTAATTTTTCATGTACGGATTTTGTTTTGATGCTAGCATTTTTAAAATCGGAGCTGGAGGTGTAATTTGTGGTAGAAATCGTGACCCATGCATGTGAGGCTCGAGGTTCCACCTCCAACAGCACACGTGCACGCATACCCGGAGAATTCAGAAGGTGTGGGAAAACACAGTACTGGCCGGGCGGTGGTGGCGCACGCCTTTAATCCCAGCACTCCGGAGGCAGAGGCAGGCGGATCTCTGAGTTCGAGGCTGGGCTGGACCGACAGCCTCCAGAATACAGAGAAACCCTGTCTCGTAAAAAACAAACAAACAAAAAAATACAGTACTGATGTTTTTAAAGTGTGCTTCTGTTGTTTTTAGGGGTGTGGGGTGTGTGTGTGCGTGCGCGCGCACGCGCACGCAGCTGTCCCAGGAAGTCAGATGCTTCAGCTCACAGGGGATTGTGGGTTGCCCCAGCTCCAGATGGGTTCTGGGAACTAGACTCCTCTTCTGTAATTGCAGTGCATACGGCTAACCGCTGAGCCATCTTTCCAGCTCCGAGTTCAGTTCCCAACACCCACGTCGGGCAGGCCGAAACAGCCTGTAAGTCCAGCTCCGGAATACTACACCGTCTGTGGCCTCCAAGTAGCACCAGGACGGAGGGGTGCATACATGCACACACATGCACATAACATTTTTTAATAGTAAAAAGGAATTCCCTTAAAAGAAAAAATATATGCATATAATTTTTATTATAGATGTGTAATTTTTTTTTGAGATAGCGTGTCTCTAGGTAACTCTGGCTGATCTTGAAAATACAGAGATCCATCTGTTTCTGCCTCCCAAGTGCTGGGATTTAAAGGCGCTGTGCCTGGCAATTCTTCTAGGAGTCTAAGTAACTGAAATTGAATTGGAATAGAATCTGAAGCTCAAGTTTAAATAGTTGCAGTGTGCTTCCAATCGCTTTAGCCATATTGACCGTAATTTTCATCCTCCCCGTGTCTGAGTAGTGCTCTAGATTTCTTTAATAAAGATGGCCACCCAAGCCCAGATGTTTGAGTGTTTAATCTTTGAGAATGACCTTCAGATGATCCCTCAGGGATTTTGACACAAGCAACTAATTCTTGGCTTATGAAGTTTCTTATTTGTTTGCTTTTGTGACCTACCATTTGCCTTTGAATTAAAGTTTTGTGTGTTTGGTTTTGTTTTTAGCTTCCTGGTAGTTACCGAGGGTTCCTGTGAAGAACCATGAAGTCACACTGTGTTGTGCTAACCCTAGCCTCCCTGGTGTTCCTGGTGTGTGTCCCTGTGTCACAGACCTGCAACAAAGCTCTCTGTGCCAGCGATGTGAGCAAGTGCCTTATTCAGGTAGGATTAAAGGGGCTTTTGCTGGCGTGGAAACGCGCTGTCATTCAGGTAGGATTAGAGGGCTTTTGCTGGTATGGAAACGCGCTGTCAACGGGAGACACTGTGGAATAAATCCAAGCCACTGTGTATGGTCTGAGCATTGGGCCGGTGCTGAGCTTGAGATTCTTATCTCCATTGCTCTCTTCCATCCATCCATGGTTGTGTTCAAGACGTTCAGTCTGGAGTGTGCTGATCTGCTGCGTAAGCGTGCCACTGTACGTGACGGGCATGCTGGTCTCTATAATCTAGTCTATACGGCGGAGCCTTAATAACTATATTTAGAAAACTTTTAGCCTATCAATTAATAGACAAATTATTACATATAACATATTATTTTTGGGGTTGCTGTGTTACAGATTATATCAAAACCTAGCAACCTGAGGCAAAAGACACGGGTCTGGTAAGCAGCGTGGTTGGCAGGTTCTGGGTCAGGTCACTCTCAAGGTTGCACCAGATTGTTGTCTGGGATTATAGAATCTCCTTCCAGGTATTTGAAAATTGTCCTTTCCAATAGAAGCCAGGCAACCAACGTAGTTACCTTTCATTTTCCTGAGATGTAAGTCTCTTGGTGAGGTTCATGTAGCTATGAAATAGCCGTGGGATTTGGTCTGTTTTTGACTCCATAGCCCGTGAATTTTTCACTGTACGTACTGCTTATTCTCCATGTCGTTGTGATGGTTGGTGACAAATTCCATAGCTTCTCTCTCTTCCCATCCCAACAGCAGTCTTCCCCTGAGACATCTGTCTTTTGTAGCCTCCATTCTAGGTACTGACTGTGGCCTAATCTAATAACTGTGTGTACAGGGTGAATATTGCTTGTGTGAAGTGTTTACTGTCAAAAGAGAGTGTGTGTGTGTGTGTGTGTGATTGTGTGTGATTGTGTGTGTTTGTGTGTATTCAGGTACCTTGGTAATGGGACCCAATCTAAAGACAAAATATATTTATGTTTCATGTATGCCTTGCCTTGCCTGAGGGTGACCTTATACAGTATTTTTAGCATTTCTGTCAATGTGGAATTTTCCACTTGTGATGTCGTGTTAGTGTTAGTGTTCAGGAAATATTAGCGTTTTGAGCCTTCTAGGTTGCACTCTTAGGATGAGTGGCACAGACTGTGTTAGCGTTCCTTGTAGAGTGTGAGTGATGACTCTGTCATTCTCGCTCGAGAGAGCAGCCATAAGTGTTTTTGTAGATCAAAGGTTGTGTGTCTATCCCTGACGTTTTCCTCCTTTGCATGGGTAACTGGAATTTTAGTTATGTTGATCTCATACTCTGATAGAACCCTTACTTTGCCTTTCAAATCAAAACATTTAACTAGAGACATTTGTTATTAGCCAATTTTAACTTTTTATGTCATGTGGTGTGTGTTATGGGTGCACATGTGTGCCCTTGTAGGTACATGTGTTGTAGGTGTGTGTGTTGTGTGTGCACATGTGTGTATGTGTATACATGTGTGTTGTAGATGCACATGTGTGTGTTGTGTGTGCACATGTGTATGTGTGTTGTAGGTGTGTGTGTGTGTGTGTGTGTGTGTGTGTGTGTGTGTGTGTGTGTGTGTGTGTAGTGCACATGGCCAGCAGAGGAGGAACTCAGCAGCATCTTTGACAGTTCCTGACTCCTAATGTCATGTCAGGTGTCTTAGTTAGGGTCACTGTTGCTGTAACGAAACACCAGGACCAAAAGAAAGTTGGGGAAGAAAAGGTTTATGTGGCTCACACTTCCACGTCACTGTTCGTCCAGGAAGGAGGCCAGCACAGGAACTCACAGGGCGGGAACCTGGAGGCTGGAGCTGACGCAGAGGCCATAGTGGAGTCCTGCTTACATTAGGATACTGGCTGAAAAGCTATGTTAAAAACTTCTTGGGGGCCAAGGGTTGGCTTAGTAAGCACTTAGCATGTAAGTATGAGGATCCGAGTTCCACTTCCAGCATACATGTAAAAAGCCGGGCGTGGTGACATGTGCTTGCAGTCCCAGCACTGGGGACAAAGATATTACCGGCTGCCAGCCTACCCTGTCACCAAGCCTCAAGTGTCAGGGAGTTACCCTGTCTTAAAAAACATACACGTACATACATACACATACAAAAAACAGGAACTCCTGAGTACCAACACACAAGGCTGACCCATCTACACATACACACATATTCATACATACACACACTTATACACATACATACACATGCCCATACATACATAATACACTTATACATACACATACACACATATGCATACATACACATGCTTATACACATACACATGCCTATACATACATAATACACTTATAAACATACATACACGTATACACATATACATACATACACATGCCTATGCATGCATAATACACTTATACACATACATATACATACACATATGCATGCATACACATGCCTATGCATACATGCATACACATACATAAACACTTCTATACATATATACACATGCCTATACATACATAATATGCTTATACACGTACATACATACACATACACAAATATCCATGCCTATACATACATAATACACTTATACACATACATACATACATACATGTACACACATATACATACATACATGTACATACATATACATACACATATGCATGCATACACATGGCCTTTTCATACATGTATACACTTATATATATCCATACATACATACACATGCCTATACATACACAATACGCTTATACATGTACATACATATACATACACATATGCATGCATACACATGGCCTTTTCATACATGTATACACTTATATATATCCATACATACATACACATGCCTATACATACACAATACGCTTATACATGTACATACATATACATACACACATATGCATACATGCCTGCACATGCCTAAGCATACATACATACTAATACACATACATACACGTACACACATATCCATATATACATACACATGCTTATACATACATACACAATACACTTATATACATACATACACCCACATACACATACATACACATATACACGTATACATACACATGCCTATGCATACATAATATACTTATACACATACGTATATACATACTTCCATTCATGTACACACATAATGCAGATTAGAACTATGGATAAAACAATATGGGGATTGGCCCAAAATTAGCACAGAGCTAAGGTGAAAATGGCATAGAAAAACAGCCAAAATAAAGACAGCAGCTGTGCTAACTATGGATGAATGGTGCATTATTCCTCTCTGTTCATACTTCAAAACATCCTTGGAAATGATCAGGGCTGTGGAGACAGCTTCCTGGGGCTTGGTGGCCACTAGCCTAGCTCCAGGTTTAGTTAAAGACCCTGTCTAGATGGAGTAAGGCAGAGAATGACAGGCATGATACCTGATGTCCTCCTCTAGCCTGCACACAAACACCACACACGTGCACCTACAACACGCGTGCACACGTGCGTGCACGCAGACACACACACACACACGAGTTAGGGCTGAGCGTCTGAGGTCTCTGTATGTGCTCCCACCTGTTGCAGGAGGAAGCCTCTCTGATTTGTCTTTCTGTGTCTAGATTAACTCACTCAGGGTGAGTTTTTCAAGTTCCATTCATTTACCTGTGAAGTTCATTTTTTTAACCAGCTGAGTAATAACTCCATTGTATAAATGTATTGCTAGACCGGGCGGGGGAGGGGCGCGCACTCTGGAGGCAGAGGCAGGTGGTTATCTGTGAGTTTGAGGCCAGCCTGGTCTACAAAACTACACAGAGAAATCCTATCTCAAAAAACCAAATAAACAAACAAGTTTTTTAAAAATCATATTTTCTTTATCCAAAACCTGGCTGTTATAAATAGAGCAGAAATGAACGTGGTTGACAAGTGTCTCTGTGGTTAGGACGAAGCATTCTTTAAAATGCCCAAGAGTCTTGAGGTAGATGGATTCCCGTCTTCCTGAGAAGCCACCTCACTGATTTCCATAGTGGCCAGACAAGTCTGCACTCCCCTCACCAATGAGGAAGTGCTCTTGCTCCAGGCCAACAAAGCTCCTGAGCTCCTGTAAGATGGGATCTCAGAAGTGGTTTTGATTTGCATTTCCCTGATGACTAAGAATGTTGAACATTTCTTTTAAGTGTTTCTCGGCTATTTGGGAGTCCTCTATTGAGAACCCTCTGGTTAGAGCTATACCTCATTTTTTAATTGGGTTGTTGTTTTTCTTCTTTTTTTTCTTTTGGTTTTTCGAGACAGGGTTTCTCTGTGGCTTTGGAGGCTGTCCTGGAACTAGCTCTTGTAGACCAGGCTGGTCTCCAACGCAGAGATCCACCTGCCTCTGCCTCCCAAGTGCTGGGATTAAAGGTGTGCGCCACCACCGCCCGACTAGGTCTTCAGTTCTATTCCATTTATCAGTGTGTCTGTTTTTTTACCCCAGTACCATGCTGTTTTTATTACTATAGCTCAGTAATATACCTTGAAATTGAGGATGGTGATACTTCCAACAGTTCTTTTATTAGTCAGTATTGTCTAAGCTATCTGTGTTTTGTGTATGTGTGTGTGTGTTTCCGTAAGAACTTGAAAAATCACCCCTTTAAGATCTGTGAAGTATTGCTTTGGAATTTTGATGGGGATTGCATTGAATCTATAGATTACTTTGAGTAGGGTGGCCATTTTTACTACATTAATCCTACAAATCCATGAACATGGGATATCTTCCCATTTTCTGATATCTTCTTCAATTTCTTTCTACAAAAGTGAAGTTATTATCATATAAGTCTTTCACTCTGTTGGTTAGAGTTACCCCAAGATATTTTAAGTTGTTTGAGGCTGTTGTGAAAGGTGCTGTTTCCCTGATTTCTTTCTCAGTCCCTTTGTCATTTGTATATAGGAAGGTTGCTGAATTTTGTGAATTAATTTGTACCCAGATACTTTTCTGGAAGTGTTTTCCAGCTCCCTGATGTGTAGTCTTCTGTCGTCTGTAAACAGACATGCTGGCTTCTCTCTTTCCAGCTTGTGT